AGGGGCTGGCGGTGGCGGTTGCTGTGGGGCGCGGGCAGCGAGCGCCGCTGGAGTCGCGGCTGCAGACGATGAAGTGCAAACGCTGTCGGGCAGCGTGAGGGGGGCCCCGTCCGGACCCCCCAGCACCCCCAGCACCCCTAGCACCCCAAGCAGTGCAGCCGCTGGCAAGGGCCCCGGCGTTCAGCAGCCCAAACCAGCCAGCTTGGGCCGCGGGCGGGGAGCAGCCGCCGCCATCCTCAGCTTGGGCAACGTGCTCAACTACCTGGACAGGTACACCGTAGCAGGTGAGCAAGTGCCCCACCCAGCCCGAGAACCAGGACCCTCTACCTTGAGGTAGCCCGGGGAGCCTTTGGTCCGAGGCTCCCTATATCCAAGCCTTTCGGGGGGCCCCTAAGGGTCCTCCGCTTAGGCACAACTGGGCAAGTGATGCCCCATGTTCCATGGGTTCAATTTAAGGACTGCCCCCTGCACCCCCAGACTAGGGGTTGGGAGAGTCCCCACCTCTGGAGTAGCCGGCGCATCCTCGCCAGCCCTTGACATCTCATCCGTTGTCCTCTTTTCCGAGTCTCCTTTGCGCCTTTCTGCATTCTGGCCTCCGCGCCCTCTCCCGCCCAGCCTCAGGTTCCCGGGCCTCTCCTCCCCTTCCCCCAGCCTAGGCGGTCTGTCTGTCAGTAGCCGTCAGTTCCTTCCTTCCTCCGCCACCTCCACTCCCCTGCGTGCGTGCGGCGAGTGCGCGCGCCCCTTGCGGGTGTGCTCCCGAGGAGACCAAGTGTGTGCGCGCGGGCGGCGGTGATATGTGTGTATGTGAGCGCATGGCTGACAAAGGCTTGGGGCTGCGGGGAGACGAGCGAAGCGGAGGGAGGGGCGGGGCGGGTCCGCGGCGCCTGGGGACCCAGGATGCGGTTTGCAGCTGGCCCCTGCGAGAGGCCTGAAGACGCCTCTTCCTGCTCCATGTCGCTTGGGGCCTGGGGTAGGGCGCAGGCCACTAGGGATAGAGAGGGGCTGCCTCATCCTCTGTGAGCATCTCCTGGAACCAGCCTTGGGGAAGGGTTGCGGGTCGATAGAACAACTGAGTTCTCTTCTCGTCCCATATTTGCTCCTCCTGTGCTTGGTGTGTGACCTTGGGCGGGTCTTAGCTTGTGTTTAGGTCTGTTTCCCCCCTCGTGAGGTGGTTGATCCCTGGTCCCTTTGGCGATGGAAGGGTGTTCTGGGATTCCAGTCTGCTAGCTCCCCTCCCCCAGTTCTCAGGGGTCTGTGAGTATGGAACTTTCCCTAAATTGAGCTGCCCCTCGGTGGGAATGGTGCAGCCTGGGGAGAAAAGGACTTTGGCCAAGCTAGCCTGTGGAGGCTCTCTGCCACAGGAGAGCAGTGATTGTGTACCTGGCATGCTGGCCAGAACCTGCCTAACCACAGCTTAGTAAAATCTGAAACTGCAAGGAGGGAAAAAAAAAGATAGCGGGTGGAATTTGGGACTGACTCTAAAGAAAACTTTGTGCTTATGGAGGGAGGAGATCCCTGGCATAAACCATACGCCATCTGGGTCCCCTTCCCCAGGACTCAATCACCCCCTCTGTTGAATGGGGTTTTGTGTCAAGTGGAAGGGAGAATTCTGATGCAAGCGTAGAGGCTTCCCCCTCCCCCGACTCCCACTTTCAAGACCCCTTTTCTCTCTATCTCTTCCTGCGGGGAGTTGGAAATGGGTACCAGTGGCACCAGTTTCTGGTTTGGGCTGTCCCCAAAAGGCTCTTACTTGGGTCTGGTGAACAGGAATACCCAGCATCACCCAAATGCACCAGGCTCTGTCATGCTTGGGCCATGCTGCCTGGGACCTGGGAGCTTAGGTGTCACCACATAGTGGAGAGAAGTCAGAGAACATCGGGGGCCTGTAGTTAGTTCAATATGGACTTCTGTACACAGACTGGGGAACCGAGGCAACTGGCGACCCTTGTCCAAGGTGGTCCGGAGAGTGCACTGCAAAGTGGCGTGAGATCTCCGTGTTTTCCACCCTCTCAGCTGGGCAATGAATGGTCTGCTTCTGTAACAACTTGAAACATTTTTTTCAGCCTCCTGACCCTCCCCTCGCCTTATTCTTAGGGAAACTGCTAGGGGCTGAGGTGGGAGGGTGGGATCAGGGAGGTCTAGTGCTTTTCTGCCTCCACCCCCACTTGGGTCCGAGAGTCAGAATGGGAGAACAACATAGCAAATTTTTGGTGACTTGGTAAGGGGGGTGGGGCAGTAGAGAGGAAGGCCCGGAAAGTTCTGTGCAAACACCATGCATCCTTCCCATTCCTGCTAGGGTGGGAGCTCGTGCACCACCCCGCCCCCAACTCACAGCATCACAGATTTCCTCTCCGGATAAGCCTGGCTCCCTCCCTCTCTCTTTATGGTAGACTCTCCTACCACCAGCCCCTTGCTGCCAAGCTGTTTTCAGGAAGATTTACTATCTCTATGGCAACTACTGTGGCTTGACGTGTCTTAGGGGTTTGGGGGACACAGCAGGGGAGTGGTCATCCCACCTGTTGCTGGCTGGCCAGCTGGGGCAGAGGAGGGCATGCAGACACTCCACTGCTCAGTCACCTTTGATATTTGCACCCCCCTGATCCCTGAGAACCTCACCATCTGGTCCTGGCACCCCATCAAAAATGGGGGAAGTTCCTACTCTCTTCCTTTAAGCCTGTGCATTTCTGTCTTCATGGTATAGACCAGCTCTGTCCAAAAGGAATATAATGCAAGCTATGGCTGGAACTTAAAATTTTCTAGTAACCACATTAAAAAAGTAAAAAGAAATGGGAAATATGAATGAATAATGTGTCTTATTGCACTCAATATATCTAACATATTTCAACATATCATCAGTAGAAAAGCTATCAATGGGATATTTTGCCCACTTTTCTTACTGAGTTTTGAAACCCAGTTTGTGTTTTACATTTACAGCACATGTCAGTTTGCACTGGCTGCATTTCAGGTGCCCAACGGCCACAGTGGCTAGGGGACACCATGGTGGACGGTGAAGGTCTAGAGTCTTTGATGCCAGTGTTCAAGTCCAGGCTCTTGAGAGCGACCTTGGGGATGTTGCTTGAGCTTTCTGAGTGGTCATTTCATCCCTCCACTTCCCGGGATGTGTAGCATAACTAAGACTGTCTCTTAAGAGCGGGGGAAAAGGCCAGACTCCTAGGAGAGCTTCACAAATGTCAGCAGACTGCTCTTCCATGCCTCTGCCCAAGCTGTGCCCTGGCCATGGTGTCCTCCTGTTTCTCAGTTTCTGACAGTCCCCTTTGGGATGCTTTGGCGAACCCCTCCCTTCTTCACCAGCGCTGGTCTTCATCCTGGGAACTCCAGTAGGTTCTGCCTTTGCTCTAGCATTCCCAGCGCCACCCTGCCACCCTGTGATCCGGCTAATTATGGCCTCTCCTCCTCCCCATGAGAACCCCCTGAGGGCAGCAGGTCTGAAAAGCAGGTGAGAAGGGCCAGGCTCTGACTCTTGCTTTTCTTACTGAGCATTGCTTCAGTTGGATGAAACTGAAGTAGCCCAGAAATCACCTCTTAGTCCTTCCCTCCACCTCTTTGGGTGGACGGGGACACTGATGCCAGGAGAACGCTGGCACTCATACAAGGTCACACAGCAGCAGTGCAGGACCAGAACCCCCAGTGCTGTCTTCTCTCGGTCAAGGTGAAAGCAGGCGCCCTGCTTCTGGCCTGGAAACTCAGAGATTCTGCTGGCCATGGGCAAAAGCCCTCTGGGCAGATGAATTTCAGCTCAGTTAAACAGGGCAGTTCGAGCTCCCCTAGGGCACGTGGCTCCTGCTCCCATGGCCTCTTCCAGCCTGGCAGCCACCTACTTTCCATTCTGAGCCCACTCATGGCTGCCAGGTCAGGGGAAGGAGGGAGCTCCTCAGGCAAGGGTCCTGGGTCCCTGCTTCCCAGCCCTGCGTCCTGGTGCCAGGGCTGCCTGTGCCCCTAGGCTCCCATTCTTCCATCTGTGAAATGGAAATCGAGCTGAGGGTATAGGTGGCAGCATTCTGCTCTGGAACCAGGCCCAGCCAGAGAGAGCTGGCGCAGGCCCTGTTCATGGTTGGTGAATGGCTATTTGAGAGCAGAGATCCTCCCTCAATTTCTCTGGGACACCTGTTGCCTTCCTGAGACCTATTGCCTTTTCCTTTGATCCAGCCCCCTGGCCAGCCAGGCACTTGAAATTGGGCAGAGCAGGGGGCTGGTGAGGACAGGCAGAGCCCTACCCTAGGGGAGTCCTTTTCTGCCAAAGAAGCTGAGACTGGTATCCATGGCAACCACTCACTAACATAAACCCAGAAGGAGAGAGGAGTACAGGGATCCAGCCCGGAACAGAGGCCTGGCAGGAATGGGACCTTCCCCAAACACCTGAGCTGGGGGCAGGAGGGGCTGCAGGCACGGGCTCTTGGCTCTTTTTTTATCTGCTTGGTTGAGTCTATCTAGAGCTAACAGCTGGGGAAACGGAGGCCCAGGGCCTTTTACAATGTCAGCGGGTGCGTAGAAGCCAAGTCAAGCCCCAAACTCCGTGGCTATCTTTGTGGATAAGGATATCAACACCGCTCCCACCCCGCCCCCTCAGGTGGCTTTGGCCCCTGGAGTGGCCCTGCCCTGGCCACTGCCAGGTCAGCACCATGTAAGGTCTGCGGGGCGGGGTGTCCCAAGGCCACATTCCAGAATGCCTGTCTGGTAGGTCATGCCCAGGTGCACCGCAGGCCGGCCTGGAATGCCAGCACCCCAGTGACTAACCACCAGCTGCCCATTTCCTTTCTTGCTCCTCAGGCATCTTTCGGCTGGTTCTGCCAGCACCTCGGCAGTGCCGCTGACCTGTCAGAGAAGCGCCTTGAAACTCACTACCTTAGTCTGGAACTTAGGACCAGTGACTGGCCCAGCCTGTGCCTTAGTTTCCCACTTTGTGAATGGGGCAGGAGGGCCACAGCCTGCAGGGTGCAGGCTGGTCTGAGAGCGAGGCCTCCTGTGTCAGAGCTGCTCAGAGAGGAGGAGTTCCGCGTCCCTTCCCCAGACAGGAAATGGCTTTTGTTTCTGCCCTTGTGTGGGGGCCTGAAATCCTGAGGGTAGAAGACGGGAAAGAGGACACTGTCTTGCTCCCCAGGCTCTTGGGGCTGGGTTCCCTGTTGGGCTCTGAATGTCTCCTGGGCTGAGCTTCCTGCTCCTGGCTTTGTCAGAATGGCTGTGTGACCTGAGGCAGATCCTGATCCTCTCTGAGCCCTGAATCCAAGATTGATGATTCTGTTCCTCTCTTTCTGTGGTCAGAGAC